GTGACTCCCTGGGACAGGGGCACAAGGCACTTCCAGGATGCCATGGGGTAGGTCACTCCCTACCTCCGTTCCCAGTGCCTGGCAGAGCACCCCTCCAGCCCTGGGGTTCCCATCGCTTTGGGCTGCAGGTGGGAGAGGCCCTCTAGGCTGCCTCTGGGGACCCAGTGCCTTGGCGTCTTCATTTTCTCTGGCTGCAGCCTGAAGCACTGAGCTCAGAGGACGGGCTCTGCCAGCACTCCCACGCCCCCGCTCTGCCCTCTAGTGCCCTCAGTCGCCTGCCCGTGCGGGCCCCAGGCTTCGCCCAGGGCAGGCCCAGGCAAGGCTGTGTCCAGGAACACGTGCTGGGCTCCCAGTGCCACCTTGAACACACCTGTGGACAATGTCCCGACTCAGAGGGAAGGAGGAGGGGCTGAGGGCCTGCTGTTACTGCCCATCCTGTTATCTTCCCTTCCAGGGCCACTTGCATATGATCAGAAGCCCCTGACCCTGAACCCTGACAGCCAGGCCAGCAGGAGGGCACCTTGGAAGAGGGGACAGCAGCCCTTCTAGGTCCACAAAACACACTTGCAGGGATCTGGTGGGTAGATGCCCTGACATGGGGGACAAAGCCTCACTGGCTATCCATGACCTAGGGACTGAACCCCTGACCTGAAATGAAAGGACCTTGGACTCTGGACACGCTGCCCTCAACACTAACTCCATGCCCTACATGGTCCTGAGGCCAGGCCTGCCATGCCTGTGGTGGGACCTGCTCACTGTGGCCCTTGTTCCTGGGGAGGCCCTGGGCACGACCATGCTGGGCACAGCCGCCTGGGCCAGGGCAGGGCCCCCTTCCAGCATCACACAGGGTACTGGGGTGAACAGTGCCCCCGAGGTGGGCTTGTCTGGGAGCAGAGGCTTTGCAGGTGGGTTGTTGGGATGAGGGGGAGCAGGGGCTGAACCCAGCCACTGCCAACTTTGCAACAGAGGCAGAGAGGCCACAGTCAGCAGAGAAGGGATTGAGGCCCCAGAGGCTGTGGGAGGAACGGCGTCTGCTCACAGGGGAGAAGGGCAGTCGGGCCTCGGACCCCTTGGTCTTGAGCTCTGGCCTCTGGGACTGTAGGATAAACTGCTCTCCTGTTAAGCCTGCCGGTGTATCTGGAGTGCGGTGGGTGTGGCCGTCCTCGCAGGGGTGGTGTCCTGGGAGGGTGGTGCAGGGTTCTGGTTTCTCCCAGAGCTGGTGTTCAAGGACAGGGAGCAGGAGGCCACGGAGCAGGTGTGTCTAGAGGGCAGGATGTACCCCAGCCTGGAAACCACATCTGGGATGGACGGAGGCCAAGTTGAGGGCACCACCCAGCTCTAGAGAATGTTGTCCGTGTCTGTCCAGTCCCCCACCCCTTGGGCAGGGCCCAGTGCAAAGTGCCCAGGAGCAGCTCAGACCTGCAGACTGGCAGGGCATCTGCAGTCCCAGCTGCATCCAGGCCACCCCCATGCAGGCCTCATGTGGCCATCTCCGACCTGCCAGTGATGAGAAGGCAGTGACCCAGAGAGGTGGCCACCTTCAGGGAGGTAAGTCACGCAGCAAGGACGGCATGGGCCTCAAAGAACATCCACTGTCCCCTTTCCTCATAGGAAAGTATTTGTGCACAACCTGGGGCTGGATGGTGCCCAGTGTCCACTAAAGATGCCCAAAGACCCTGCTCACTCCCTCCTGGCCTCAGGCCCTGGGCACCTTTGTAGCACCTTGGTTCAAGCCATGCCTGGGGCAATCGTGCAGGGGAACCAATATTCTTCCCTCTTGGGTTGCTGGGTCCATGTGTCTTCATTCATTATGGAATTGTCCCTGTCCTTTCTGACCTCTGAGAGGCCCATTCACCCATTGGGTTGCTCCAGCTCTGTCCCCAGAACAGCACACGTCCCTGTTTGTTGGGAACCAGCCATTGTCTGGACAGGTGTCAGTGGACAGCCAGCAGCAGCCACATATGTGTACTGCAGCCTCAACCCCTACCTGCTCGGTGGTGCCTGCCAGGTGGGGCAGATGAGCTGCCCACTTCCAGCCTGCCCTGCTGACACATGGGAGATGAGTGCTGCCAACCATGAAGTGCCTTCCATGCAGACACATGGCCCCAGCCTCTCATCTTTTGAAACTAATTTGCAAAATGCCCACTAAATGCTTGAGCACTGTCATCTCCTGTGAGTGCAAGGAGGGACCAGGAGAGGGACTCTCCCTGGCATGCAGTTGGTGCTCAGTAAGTACTGGCCTAACTGGAAATGGCATGAGACACTTCAGTGCCTCCAACATACCGGGACTGCTCCTGCACTACAGAACACTTGAGGCTGGGTGATCTGTAATCCACAGAAATTCTGCTGGGTATCACTGGTTCAGTGGTCCCAGGGACTCAGGAGGCTGAGGCAGAACGGCAAGTTCAAGCCCAGCCTGGGCACCTTAGTAAGACCCTGTCTCAAAACAAAGTATAAAATGGACTGGGGCATGGCCCAGTGGTAGAGCACCCTGGGCCAAAAAACAAACACCCTCTTGCTGTGCTGGGCCAAGGGGGGAAAGGCGAGACACTGGGCCAGCCCAGGCCCAGTGGACAGAACACCGCACCCATATCAGGCCACCGCGTGGTCGGCAACCTGCTGGGGTCTCTGGGACAGCAGTAAAGGTGAAGTGCTTGGTTTACAACAGATGGGCCCCTGGTCCTTGCCTCCGTGGGAAAGGGTCTGTGGGGAGGGGCATCAAGGCTCCCATGTGCTGTGCCCATGTCTGCATTTCTACAGGGCTCACGTGGCTTCTGGAATCTAAAATGATAAATAGAACTGGAGCTAACACTTGGTTTGGGAAAGCAGTTGTTCTACAGAAGTCTAGGTTTTGTCCCCTTGCTAGGGAGCTCCCAGGTGGCGGAAGGTGCTAGAGGTGGTAGGGTGGGGGGCCTACTCCTGCTGTCTCCAGGGTCTTTCCTGCCTGACAGAAGCACCAGAGCCACAGACCATGCCAGCCTCCTGGGAAACACAAGGTCAAAGGCCCTCAAGCCAAGCTACTGTGGCCAGACCCAGGGGTGACTGGGGGCTGTGGGCGAGGCAGGAGCACCCCAGGCTTCCCAGCACCCCGTCTTACACGTGAGGGGCCGAGGCTCTTGTCACCCGCACCCCCTGGCTCCCTATGGCCCCGACTCCCTCCTCAGCACAGAGCCCCATCTGCAGAGGACGGGACTGGGTGGGTGCAGGACGACAGGCTCTGCAGACAGAAGCCCCGGCCTCGCTGCCCCTCTACCCCAAGCCCTGCACCATTGCAGGGGTCCCAGCAGAGCCAGGCTGCCCCTCCCCTCCAGCAAAGTCAGGCTTCACATGGAGCTGGAGTCGGTGTGGGTAATGCCGCTGGGTCCAGCTGGCCTGCAGCTGCAATTCCTTGCCTTGATCAAAGCCCCTTCCCTGCAGCCTGAATGCCACAGTGGCTCCCAAGGGAACCCATGGAGTGGTCCTAGGGTCCCCACCCACCACTTAGTGTGTTATCCAGGTACTGCAGACCTGGGGACGGCCCCTGGTCCCAGTCTCAGAGGAAGGAGCCTGAGACTCAGGGGTGGCAGGGTCCCTGTCCAGGTTCCTCCAGCATAGGGGCGTCAAGAGCAGCCCTGGTGACTTCACCCCTACTCAATGCTCTACAAGGCCCTGCCCAAGGGACATCACACCCTGAGGTCCTGTGGGTCAGTGCTGATGTGCCTCTGGGGACACGCTCCAACACTGGGCTGGTTTGGGCATGCTGACCTGAGTGCTTCTGACTCTTGCCCTGTTGGGTCAGCCTCACAGCCCAGCAGGGAATCCTCCAGACATGGTGGCATGGCCTTGTCCCTGAGGGAAATGGCTGCAGCACCAGTGGGACATCACCTCCCCAGGGCATGGGGCAGGTGGCCCAGCCCTTGTTGAACCCTGGGGCACAGCAGCAGAGGCTGTCCCAAGTGGTCAGCCAGCTCAGGTTGGCTCAGTGCCCCCCTTCTGCAGGGGCAGACTGAGTCAGAGGATAAGGAACAAGGGGTTCCCTGTGACTCCACCCAGATGCTGCTGGCAGGCAGGGTCTAATGGGCACAGGACCAGGGAAGTCTATGCACAGGGAGGACCTGTAGACACCCAGGAGGCTATGATTTATAAAGTTCAGTTCTAACTGGTCTCACTGGTATCTCAGCCAGTGTGCCAAGGACCCAGGAGTCGTCTCGGGAGGGCTCAAAGTGCCAGCCCTCCGACCGCAAGGCTGCTGAGGCCCATGTAGCCAGTCCCACAAACAAGCCCCCAGGGCAAGGGGGCAACCCATCCATGAGTGGAGGACAGTTCTGACCAGGTGGTGCAGAGTACCCAAAGGTGCTCAGCACCTGCGCTGTGACAGAGCAGGATGTTCATGTCTAGAACAGGCCTGGATAATGGGGCAACAGAGGGAAGGGGTTACAGCAGGTGCAGCTGGTGTCAAGGCCAAGGGCAGAACGGCAAAGTGAAGTGTGGTTCAGAGTGATAGGTCACATAGGGGGAGGGCCACCTCCATTTCACAGGTGCTTCCTGAAGTCCCTGCAGGACCCTCAGAGCCCTTGGACCAGTCTTGCCCACAAAGCAGCTCCGTAGAGAACTGCAACCATGGGAAGTTGTGTGGGAAGCTCCTGTGCCCTTGGGGCTGTGCAGGGGGCCTGGGCAGCCGGGAAGGAGGAAGGCCCAGCCAGGGGGCTTCACTCTCCCACACTGGCCAGTCCCTGCCAGAGCCCACACCTCAGCCTTGCTGCTTCTCCTGTCTTTCACAACTAGATTTCTCTTTTGCTCACGTAAGCTAGGCAAGAGCTCTGTCAATGCTGGGTGCCTGCAATCCCAGGGGCTTGGGAGTCTGAGGCAAGAGGATCATGAGTTCAAAGCCAGCCTCAGCAACTTAGTGAGGCCCTGTCTCAAAACAAAATATAAAAGATGGCTGTGGATGTGGCTCAGTGGTGAAGCATTCCTGGGCTCAACCCCCAATATAAAACAAAACAAACACTTTGCCACTGACCTACAGCTCAGCCCTTTTTATTTTTTGAGACAGGGTCTTGTTAAATTGCTTAGGGCCTTGGTAAGTTGCTGAGGCTTGTCTTGAACTTGGATCCTCCTGCCTCAGCCTCCTGAGCTACAGAGGATCATAGGCATGTGCCACGGCACCTGTCATGAAAATTGGATCTTCAAGAGAAAACCTGAGGCTGCTGTCCTCAACGGACAACTAGACTCCTCTGGTGTAAGTGGGTCCTGGTACATGAGAATGCTGACTTCCAGCCACCTGGAGGAACAGGCTAGCCTCAGATGGGGAGTGAGGTGCAGACACATGCCGCTGGGACTCTGCCGTGTCCCTGCAATGCCGGTGGCTCCCAGGAAAAAAGCATCCTCTGACCTGCGTACAGTGGCCATGCCTATGATCCCAGCAACTTGGGAGGCTGAGATAGGAGGATGGCAAGTTCAAGGCCAGCTGGTCAACTTAGTGGGACCCTGTCTTAAAACAAAAATTAAAAAGGGCTGGGAATGTGGCTCAGTGAGAGTGAACCCCTGGATTCAATCTTCAGGACCAAAAAACAAAAACAAAGACAACAGAACACCCCAGCATCCTCTGAATGCGAAGAGGAACACTGACCGCAGATATGTACACATGATCCTCCCGTCATGACTCACCAGGCCACAAAGAAACTGCTGGCCCTGCCTGGTCTTATGCAGTGGGAGGCAGAGGCACCTGCCCCCTGTGGGGTGTACACAGCACACCCGTACTACCAGCTGCCTGGAGGCCCCTCGGCACCCCCACCAGGCTGCCCCCTCCCACCTGGCAGGGCCTACTCTGCCTAGATATTCTCTCCTACAAAATTATTTATTGGCGTGGGAGCAGATGGCAGCCAGGGTCAGCTAAGTGTGAAGAATTGGGCACAGAGGTCGTCCCGCCGGCCCAGCAGGCCTTGAGCTGGGATGAATTCCAGGGGCACTGGCTCGGGCCCCTTCCTCTTGAGGTCCTGCTCAAAGACCTGTAAGGACAGAAAGTAGGCCTGGGCTCATGCTCGGTGGTCCCTGGGCCCCCCACTCCTACTCTGGCTTCGTCAGGTCCTGCTCAAAGCCCTGTAAGAACAGACACCAGCGCAGGGCTCGTGCTTGGGGGTCCCACAATCCTCCTCACCTCGTAGGCAGAGAGCTCCAGGAGGGGCGCAATGCTGACCTCTGCGACAGACAGCACCTGATTGATGACGCTGGCGGCTCTGGACACCTCAGGGTGGTAGTGCTGCTGGAGAGTCTAGGAAGGGCACGTGGCTGTCACTGACACCACAGCTTCAGCAACCCCTGCCATGCACCCCACATGTGTGCTCCCCACCCAGGGCCTTTGTGGGGCCAGCCCCACATGGGTAGGAGTGTTGAGCGCTCAGGCCTGCAGAGCCCTGAGCAAGGGAGGACCCAAGGCTGTCACAGTGCAGCTCTCATCAGGGACAGAGCAGCAGCCTGAGGGAACAGGCTCCCCAAGCAACCCAGGTGACGGGGCACAAGGCCACACAGTGTCCTCCAAGGCCCAGGCACCCACCTGCAGCTCCCAGAGGCAGCTCTCCAGGGCTCGGCTCTTGGCCGGGTCCTCCTCCTCAGGGTCATAGGGATCACTGTCCATCTCTAGGAATCAGATCCAGGATTTGAGGCTGTCTGGGCTCTCTGGGGCAGTGGGCACAGGAAAGGGTCCTCCCTGACATCCCTGAGGCCGCTCTAACCTGACTCACCAGGGCTTTGCGGGCGGTGCACCAGCACACGGCAGGCAGGGTGCCTGCGCAGCAGGTTGCAGATGAAGGGCAGGACCATGAGCAGGGCCTCTGGGGGTGCCGTCAGGGCCAGGCGGGCTAGGCGCTTGACGAAGGCAGCCACCAGGTATGCAGGGAGATGGCTGGGTGGGGAGTGGGGCATGAGCCACCAGGGCCAGCCACCTGCCCCTCCCTGCCCCAGGAGGCAGCACCAGAGCTACATAGGGCCAGGCTGCTCTGAGGCCAGGCCAGTGCTTCTGGACACTCACGAGGATGACAGGAAGAGGTCAGCCAAGTGGAAGAAGCGGGCTCGGTACTTGACATGGAAGACAGACGGGTCCAGGAGGCCATAGAGCTTCCGGTAGAAGTCGGGGTATTCCCTGGGGGACACAGGGCCACACAGGAGTGAGCTAGATCCCCAGGGAATCATGGTTTCAGCCCCTCCATCCCTGGGCAGGTCCTGGGGGCTCCCTCTACTATCCTGACCCTCAAGAAGAGACACGTCAGCAAAGAGGTACATCAAGCCTGAAAGCAAGGGGAAGGTCTAATCCCCCAGACTGCTACTTACAAATTGTGCTTGTGAATCAGGATAAAAAGTCCATTCAAGGCCAAAAGGCTGATGGCACCCCCTGCAAAAGACAGAGAGGTGAAACTCTCACCCATTTAGGGGGTGCTGCTCCCAGGCAGCTGCCCACCCCCACTGTCCTGGCTTGCAGCAGGAACCCAGCAGCTGCACAGCTAGAGGCTACCCAACTGCTGGCCACTGCCTGAGGTCACATGAAAGGACGAGCCAGGAGTGACTGGACTTTCATGACCAGCACACCCCAAATTCAGACCCCACTGCTAAGCAGGGCCACTCACCCACATCACAGGCACTGGTGAGGAAGTCGATCATGAGGGTAGGCTGGGCCAGGTGGGGGAGGATGGAGTCGTGCATCACCAGGAGCACCTTCTTGTAGAGGCTGAGGGGCAGCTGGGGCAGCAATGCAGGTCAGGTGCGGCCAGCCCACCCCCATCACAATGAGGGCACCCCACCCCACCAGGCCCTACCTTGTGCTTAAGGAAGCTGAGCCACATGGCCTGGAATGCTCTCCTGTGCTCCTGCAACGGGACCAGGCTGCACACGTACCCCGCCACCTGCCCCCCAGCCTGTAGCCAGCCCTCTGCCCTCTTCCTGCCCCCCAGCCTGTAGCCAGCCCCCTGCCCACTTCCCACCCACATTCAGTTGGGAACCTCCCAAATCCTTGAACTTGAGAACCTCAGAATGGGTTTTGTAGCACTAGGGCTCAAATATGCTGGGGAGAAAATGTCAGCACAAGAAAGATAAGCATGTTCCTCACAGTGTGAAGAAAAGAAAGACTTGAGGGCTAAAGCCAGCCATAAGGTGACAGGCGGAGATGGCTCAGGGGACAGTGTGAGGCACAAGCATGCACTGCCTATAGCCAGGAAGTACTATCAGGGAAGACTGTCCACACCACCAAAATATCTTACCCTCAAATGAGTGACCTTCCACTTGTCTGACAGCTCTGCAAAAAGGACAAGGCCCAGACCATTCAGCACGCAGGCAAAAGGCCCTGCTCTGCTGGCCCTCCCACCAGGGTCTGTGCCCTGGTGCTCCTGCTGCCTTGGACACTCACCTGCATGCTTCACGTAGAAGCTGGAGAGATCGTGCTCCTGGCGAGGCAGGCTCACGGCGCTCAGCAGAGTAAAAGCATTGTTCCAGAAGATGACGGACGGCTGCAGAGATCTGGCCTGAGCATCAGGTACCACATCCTCCCTGCCCCAACCCCAGGAGGCACCAGGACACAGGCAAATCAGACCCAGCCACTCACCTCAGGCTGCTGGTTGGTGACCTGAGCCACGGCATCTGAGGCAGCCTGCATTGTATGGTAGCGAATGTCGTCAAACTCCAGGTACTCCCGGAACTGGGAGAGGAGCAGGCTGTGGTCCTCTGCAGGTGAGACCAGGCCTCTCACCACTGCCTGGGGGAAACGGGCAGGGTGACGCCTCTGTCCCCACCCAGTCCCAGTACCACCAGACAGGATACTTCAGCCTCACCAAGCCCCATGCCACACCAAACTCCTCTCCATAGCCAAGGGACACTCAGGAGTCTCACTAACCCCACAATGTAGAATGAGGCAGGAATATCACACCTCCCATCCCACAGCCACCTGCTCAGGTAGCCCACTCCTGGGGGCCCCTGGACCCATCAGCTACTCACCCTGAAAAGTGTGCGGGGGAACAGGTAATGGCCTTCCCACTTGGGCTGCTCCAGGGGGTGTGTTCCTTCCAGCTGTACAAACTTCATAAGTGTCCCAAGGGCCAGCTCCTGGAAAGCATGGGAGGCAGAGCTTACACCAGCCCCTGAGCCCCTCACAGCCAGGCCTAGGGCTGCCAGGAGGTATGAGGGAAAGGTGACCCCGCCTGGTCTTGCTCTGCTCATTGCCAGCCATGGTTCTGGACCTCCACACCCACGCACAAGGCAGGTGATATGACTTCATTAAGATAAGTAGGTACAGAGTTCCTGGCAAGGTCTGGGCCGGGGGGCACACACAGGCCAGGTCCGCATCCTGGCATCTGGTAAGGAGGGTGCCAGAGTAAACCTCACAACCTAAGCGGAAACTCAAGAGTAAGAGGCCAGATGCAGAACAGGGCCCAGCTCTAAAACCAGAACTACACACTCAGCACCCTTGGGGCCAAACACTGTGAAACAGGCACATGTGAGGGGACAGGAACAGCAGAACTGCATCTGGTTAGAAAGCAACCTCACTGAGACAGCCTGGAAAGAGAACTCCACATCCACAGCCCAGGACCCTTGCTTTATGGACGGAGAGCCTAGAAGGCTGGGTCGAGTGCAGGAAACAGACAGAGAAAGCAAACCCTGAGACAGAGCCTCACCTTGACCTGGAAGGCAGGGTGGGCCAAGAGCTCCCCCAGGCGATTGCAGCAGCTGCAATATCGGTGTCTCATCCACACCTTGTACTTGCGCATGGCTCCCTGGGACCCTGCAGGGAAGGTTAGGGTGTCATACTGCAGCCCTGGCACAGCCCCACCCTCCCATGCCCTCTATCACTACTGGTGAAAACAGCCACTAGGGCCCCCAGACCCAAGCAAGGACCAGCCATTCTCTGGTTTCTGCAAAGGGGGGAAGAAGGTCACCTCTAGCACTGCCCCAACCAGGATCCCAGGGGCATGGCACTATCTCTTCCCCTCACTTGGCCCCAAAACGTGGCTGCCCCAAATATTGGGACTCAGCCCCAATTGCAACTGATGGCTGGCATCGAACTACATAGCCGGGTATGGACGTCACTCCTTAGCCGCGTCCAGTCAGACATCGCCAGGGGCATCTTTCTACCCGAGCAACCACCAAGAGAATCCTCAAGCTGGCCGGGGCCTCCTCCGCGAAAAGTGCACGCCCTGTGACAGGCTGGGGGTCTCATCCCACGTGACGAGGCCTCCCTCAGATGCATGCTGGAGCCGAGGCCTGGCCGCTCACCTGCCATGACCGTGTCCTCAGAGGGCAGCTGGCCCACGTACAGCTCACCCCGCTCCAGCAAAGCCCCAAAAAGTCGGCTGCACGCGCGGACTGCTTCCTGGACCTCCTCCTGGTCCTCGGACTGCGGGGGAGGTGGGCCGCGCCCGGGTGAGCCGCGCCGCTGGCCCTCGGCCGCCCCGGCCCTCCGCCCGCCCCGGCTTCCGCCACCCCGGCCCGGCCCTCCGCCGCCCCACAGCGCCCGCCACCTGCAGTGCGGCCAGGATGTCGAACACGGCGTTGGCTTCGCCGCGGCTGGACAGCACCGCCTGCACCAGGCGGCCTAGCGCGCGGCGGGGATCGCAGGGCCGCCCGCGCTCGGCCTCCCCTTCCATCTCCATGCTTTACCGGCCGCGCGGGGAACAGGGCCGGCGCCGGCGCGTTGGTGACGACACCCGACGCGCCCGTGACGTCCCGCAGGCGCGCCCGCGGCGCCCTCGTGACGTCACCGCCGCGCCAGGAAGAGGTGGCTGGGGCGATGGCGCTGTTCCACGTAGCGCGGTACCCGGGCCCCGGGGCGGCGGAGGCCTGGGCGGCGGAGGTCGGGGCGGGCGGCCGGGCCCGCGTGCTGCTCGAGCGTCTGCAGTGCCGGGCCCGCGAGCGGCAGCAGCAACAGCGGGAGCCCGCGCCCGTCCAGGCGGACGCACGGTGCGCGGAGGCGGCCGGCAGGCGGCGGCGGCGGCGGCCCCGGCGGCGGCGGCGGGCGAGCCGGAGTCCGGACGCGCGGCTGACGAAGCGGCACCGAGAGCTGGGCGAGGGCGCGGACGAGAGCGAGGACGCAGGTGCGCCGGTGGTGGGCGCGAGGGTCGCGGGGCCTCGCTCCCGGGCCGGCGGCGGGGCTGACTGGCGAGTGTGCGGCGCAGGGACCAGCGAGGCGGCGCCCGAACAGCGCAGTGCGCACGCCGAGTCTCCGCAGCAGGAGGCTGGGTGCCCGTCCCCCGGCCCGGTGCTGGGGGGCTTCGCGAGGAGGAAGACGCCGAAGGTGAGCAGCCGAGGGGGCCGGCGGCGGTTCCGCGCGCCCCGTTCCCCTGCCGGAGCCGGGAGCGGTGGTGAGAAGTCCGGTGGGGACGTGCAGAGCTGCTGGGGTGTGCGCTGGGCAGAGGCCCGCGCTGGCCCTTAGGCCGGAAGGACTCGAGTTCTGGTCGAGGGGCCCTGGGCGCAGCCGCGGATGGAGTCAGGTGGTTGTGGCCAGAGGTGGGTCTGCTGGAACCCACTTTCGTGTTTGAAGGCAGCCGGGACAGTGGCTGGTGGTGGCTGGGGAAAAGCTGAGACTGGTCAAAAGGTTTCTACCTTGTGGGTCCAGAGGGCTCTGGTAAATTGTGGTCTTTATTGCATTTGGGGTAGGTCCAGCCTTTCCTGCCAGCATGGCTGGCTAAGCCAAGCATTGTCAGGAAGAATGTCATTGAGGATCTTGTTCCCATCGAGAACATCCCCGAGGTGCATCCTGACCTGCAGAAGCAGCTGCGTGCACATGGCATCTCGGCTTACTTTCCAGGTGCCCTTCCCTGGGCCAGCAGACAGGGCTGGGGCACCCCTCACAGCACCCCACCTGTGAGAGCCCCTCTGGTGTGCGTGGGCATGGGGCTTGTGGTTCCTCCTGGCCTGTTGCTGTCTTTGAGCAGAGGTGCTCTGGGAGAGTCAACTTGATGTGCTCCCTGTCCAGTCCAGGCAGCTGTGATTCCTGCCCTCCTGGAGAGTGTGGCCAGTGGGTTCCTGGTGAGCAGAGGTGGCTACCAACCGAGTGACCTCTGTGTTTCTGCCCCAACGGGCAGTGGGAAGACATTGGCCTTTGTCATTCCTGTGGTGCAGGTGGGTGTCACTTTGCCTCGTTTTCTGGTCAGGGGTGGATGGCAGGGAGCCGGCTCTGCTGACAGGCAGCCCATCCTCCCTGCAGGCCCTGATGCACCGAGTGGTCTGCCAGGTGCGTGCACTGGTGGTGTTGCCCACCAAGGAGCTGGCCCAGCAGGTACATAGACCCCAATACCTGTAAGCCTATGCCCCCAGCCTGAGCTGACCTGCTGGGTGTGTGGTGCTCAGCCAGAGTCCTTGGCACTGTCCTGGAGGGCCAGCTTGCCCCCAGGCCAATGGCAGACCTCCCTTGTAGGTGAGCAAAGTGTTCAACGTCTACACAGATGCTACACCTCTGCGGGTTGCCCTGGTTACTGGACAGAAGTCTTTGGCTAAAGAACAGGAGAGCCTTGTCCAAAAGACGTAGGTTCTGTGGGTAGTGGGCTCTCTGGGGGTCTCTGCTCTGCCCACCCGTGTTGGGTGGGGGTCAATGCTATGTGCATGAGGTGGTCTGTGCTTGCCATCAGAAGGCCCTGCATGGTGCTTCCCTTGTGAGCCACTCTTGTTTGTAGAACAGACGGCTACCGCTGCCTGGCTGACATCGTGGTGGCCACACCTGGCCGCCTGGTGGACCACATTGACCAGACCCCAGGATTTAACCTTCAGCAGCTCCGTTTTTTGGTAGGCTGCCTGCCGGGAGGCCCGGACTCCTTGCTGAGGATGGACCTGGCAAGGAATTTCTGCCAGCCAACGTGGTTTTGCCTGCAGGTAGTTGACGAGGCTGACCGCATGATAGACAGCATGCACCAGTCTTGGCTGCCACGGGTGGTAGCCGCGGCCTTCCACAGTGAGGGCCCTGCAGACCCCTGTGCCCTACTCCAGAGAAGGCAGCCCCAGGCAGTGACTGCCGCCAGGTATCCTGTTGTGCTGGGCTGACCCCTTTCCTCCACGCTTGCATGCTGAGGGAAGGCCATGTACTCCCCGATGGTGTTCGTGTGCACTGGGACCTGTGAGGAACCTGTCCTACTGACACCCTCTTCTTTCCAGCACCTGCCGTCCCCAGATGCCTTTGCAGAAGCTGCTATTCTCAGCTACCCTGACCCAGAACCCTGAGAAGTTGCAGCGGCTCGGCCTCTACCAGCCCCGGCTCTTCTCCACGGGACTGATGCACAGGGGCCCCCAAGACAGGGATGTGGAGACAGACGGGGACTCGGGGGGGAAATACACCTTTCCTATGGGGCTCACAGTAAGTGAGGGGGTAAGAGGGGTGGGTGGTGCCAGGCCCAGGGCTTCTGCCCACCTGCCATCTTCCGCAGCACCACTACGTGCCCTGCAGCCTCAGCTCCAAGCCACTGGCCGTCCTGCACTTGGTCCTCAGGACGAGCGTCTCCAGGGCCCTGTGCTTCACCAACTCCCGAGAGCACTCTCACAGGTGAGCAGGGTGGGAGTGTGCGGCTGGTGAGCTGGGCTCCGGCTCCGGCCCCGGCCCCGGCCTGCAGCTTCCTCTCTGCATAGGCTCTTCCTACTGGCGCAAGCTTTTGGGGGTGTGAACGTGGCCGAGTTTTCCTCCCGCTACGGGCCTGGCCAGAGGAGGAAAATCTTGAAGCACTTCGAACAGGGCAAGATCCAGCTGTGAGTACAGGGAGGGGGCTGCCTGTGGAGTTGGGGTGCTTGACCCAGCTGTCACCCTGGGCCTACTGAAGGGTGCTTCTTCCTGGAAACTGTGCTCCTGAGTCTGGGGTACATTTCCGAAAAGGCCTGGGGTTTCCCTTTAGTGCGGTGGTCATGGCTGTAGGCGTCCCTGCTTCTGGCTCAGCTGGGTTTCAGGCTGGGGGTCCCTATTGCTGCTGGGCAGGACCACAGGGCTGTGTGCTTTCAGCCTCATCAGCACTGATGCCACCGCCCGTGGCATCGATGTGCAGGGTGTGGAGCTGGTGATCAACTACGATGCCCCCCAGTACCTGAGGACCTACGTGCACCGGTGAGGGCTGGCAGCAGTGGCCACTTGGGCTTCCAGGCTTGTGAGCTCCTGGGTGTGGGACGGGTGGGGGGTGACCAGGGAGAAGCCACTGTTCCTGTCGTACATTTGTGTGATTTTAGGGTGGGGAGGACGGCTCGAGCTGGGAGAACTGGACAGGCCTTCACGCTGCTCCTCAAGGTGCAGGTGAGGTGGTGCGTCTCTGTGGGACACTGGGGAGGCTGTTGCCGCAGAGGGTTCTGGGGCGGGTTGAGACCCTCCCACACGAGGCCCCTTCCCTGTAGGAGAGGCGGTTCCTCCGGATGCTGGCTGAAGCTGGGGCACCTGAGCTATTGAGGCATGAGATCCCCAGTGAGCTGCTGCAGCCGATGGTTCCTCAGTACGAGGAAGCCTTGTCCCAGCTGGAGAAGACCATCAAGGTGAGGTCTGCCAGGGCCAGCGGTCCTGCAAGTCAGCCTCATTCTAGAGTAGTCACGGTGTGGACAAGAGCCAGAAGCAGGGTCCTGACACCTGGCCCTCGAGCTCCTGGCCCAAGGCCAGCGGTGATGCTTGCTGAGCAAGCTCCCGTTCTCTAAGGGTCCAGGGGGCTGGGAATGCTCACTTCAAGCCCCCTTCTCTCTCCCACAGGAGGAGCAGAAACAGAAGGTAGCCTAGGCTGCTGGGCGCATCTCTGTTCCCGACCACCCCAGGTTCCTGAAGCAGCAGGAGTGACACAGCCCTCTCCCCTGTGGCTCCTGTGCTGGGCAGCCCGGAGCTCAGCTGGGTCTGCCAGGTCGGGACCCGTGACCAAGGCTGTGTACCACATCCTGGGGCAAGCTGGTCTCGAGCCCTGTGGTGCTGCTGGAACCTGTGGTGTGCTTGCCTGCGGGCTGGGGTCCCCTCAGACAATGCCAGATGTCATGCTTCTGACATCAGTGTCCCACCTCCTGGGCAGCCCTGCTGTGTGACCAGATGGGAGGCAGCCCGGCTAGGAGACCTGAGCCTCATGCTGATTGATGCTTGGCCACCACCCGGCCCAGGGCAGACCCAAAGCAGTGGGGTCCTGAGTGGGATAGGAGATTCAGAAGCACCTCTGTTTATGAGAAGCCTTTTAGAAATTTCATGATAATAAATTTTTAAAAAACAGCTACTAATTAATTCATTTGAAGAAAACACGATGTGGTATGAGTGACAGTGCAGGGCCTGGAGTACCCTGCCCAGGGCTCCAGTGCCGCCAAGATGGTGTTCCCCCCTGGGAGCTCCTGCTCCTCTGCCTGGCGGGGCACACCGGAAGAGCAGTCTGCACAGGAGGCAGGCTCTGCCCTGGGGCCCTGGGCTTGGGAAGGACTCCTGCCATCCTCTAACCGGGCCCTGCCTCCCAGGTGGGCTATACTTGTCCTGCTACCTGCATGCACATGCTGTTCCTGTGCTTTCAACACTCTTCTTCCCCAGTCATCCAGAAAATCCCTGCTGCCTGACTCCCCCAACATAGCACGTCCATGCCACACCTTCCTTGGCCAGTACCTGCCCTTCACTTCCTCGTACTGACCACCAGGACTGAGTTCCTTGAGGCCAGATGTTGGCTTTCTACTTCTAGTAGGTGATTAAAATGCAAATGGACAGCTGGTGTTGTGGTGGCC